ACTGACAGCTGTCTGCTGATTTGTGACAATGCAACATGCCACACGGATCTGGAACGTGTGTTCCAAGAGGACCGTTACCCATCAAGGAGGCTATTGCGATTCGCGGCATATTCGCCTTCACTGAACCCCATAGAAGGCGCTTGGAGTATCATCAAGACGAACGTCAAACAAGCCATGCGACGCAATTACCTCGAGATGCTGCGAGGAGATCCAGCTGACGCGCTTAGTAAAAGCGAATGGAGGATCCAAATTCCTTGAGAAGATTGTGTCCGAAGCACGAGCCAGCGTTACGCAGCATCATTGTAAACAAATGGTGGAACATGTCAGTGCAATGTACGTGAGTGCAATATACTTAATGGATCTGTATACCTCTATCATGTCCCTAATATACTGTTTTCATCTTTCACCAATATTTTTGTTTAAAGCCACGTAAGGTTGCCTTGTGCAATACAGCTCTCCGATGTTACTGATAAGTGTCTGCTTATATGCGATCGCGCACCATTACATACGGATCTGAGACGTGTGTTCCAAAAAGGGAATATATCGTTTGTTCGTTTCCCTTTTGCAATATATTTATTTTTCCTACTTCGTCTAACTTGCGTGCTAACTCCGCCTCGTGAAAACGTTGTTGCAAGGGCCAGGAGAATTTGCAGTCTGTACTCACTAAATACTGAATAAAAGTGCTAGTACAACAAAACACTTTGCAATGGATGTCCTGAGAAAATCATCCAACTTCACGGCAAATTCTGAAAAAGAAAAGCCGTCACTTCTTACAGTCAGGAGAATGCTTTCCTGTTTCTACCGCTCAGAGAGTGTAATGTCGCGAGGGGTGCTTACACAGTAAATCAGGTCTACCGTATCGTGGAGATACATGACCACTTGATCACAACACATCTACGCCCCACAAAATGTGTTGTCATCCAGAACTGCCAGAGTATATTGCCAGACGGTTCTGCCTCCGTGGTATGGCCAAGTTAATCGATTCAAGTTAGTCAAGGGATGGCTGATCATTTCGCAATGTAATTAAAGCCGTCACTGTGGCAACAACATTAAGTGGATCAAGTAACACACAGGACCTGCGTCTCGTCCATCCCCAAGCCTCAAACGAATCCCCGGTGAATTCGTTCAAGTTGTTATTGCGTAACCACAGTCGGCAACCGCTTGCCGTCAGTGTGGTTTTGGTGATAATGGCGATTCGTCCGGAGTTCTGCGCACAACAGATGTAACTGTCAAGACTCTGTTCCTGATTGCGCAATATCAACAACTTGCGCCACCACGGCATCCACTTATGTAACTGCTTAGTCGAGACAAAGGCATTTCACTACGGTAGTCTTCTCCATGGGTTGATAAAGTGGTTTAAGGGGACTAGATATTTTGCATGACGGGTTTCCCCCATACACCATTTAATAGGACCGGCTGGCATGGAATTTCGGCTAGTGGCGCCTGAGAAGAGGGGACAATGCGTAGACAGGTGCGTTTCGGGTGCTGCATGCACACCGAGCGCAATGTTGATAAGTCTGCGTTTGATGAATGTAGCCATCCGAATCACGCTAAGTTCGCGCGCAGTGCACAACACCTGACGAATCGTCCTTATCACCAAAACCTCACTGACGGCAAGCAGTTGCTGATTGTGAATACGCAATAACAACTTGAACGAATTCACCGGGGATTCGTTTGAGGCTTGGGGATGGACGAGGCGCAAGTCCTGTGTGTTACTTAATCCACTTAATGTTGTTGCCACAGTGACGGCTTTAATTACATTGCGAAATGATCAGCCATCCCTTGACTAAATTGAACCGGTGAACTTGGCCATACCACGGAGGCAGAACCGTCTGGCAATATACTCTGGCAGTTCTGGATGACAACACATTTTGTGGGGCGTAGATGTGTTGTGATCAAGTGGTCATGTATCTCCACGATACGGTAGACCTGATTTACTGTGTAAGCACCCCTCGCGACATTACACTCTCTGAGCGGTAGAAACAGGAAAGCATTCTCCTGACTGTAAGAAGTGACAACTTTTATTTTTCAGCATTTGCCATGAAGATGAATGATTTTCTCAGGACATCCATTGCAAAGTGTTTTGTTGTATTATCACCTTTATTTAGTATTTAGTGAGTACAGACTGCAAATTCTCCTGGCTCTTGCAACAACGTTTTCACGAGGCGGAGTTAGCACGCAACATAGACGAAGTAGGAAAAATAAATTTATTGCAAAAGGGAAACGAACAAACGATATATTCCCTTTTTGGAACACACGTCCCAGATCCGTATGTAGTGGTGCGCGATCGCATATAAGCAGACACTTATCAGTAACATCGGAGAGCTGTATTGCACAAGGCAACTTTACGTGACTTTAGACAAAAATATTGGTGAAAGATGAAAACAGTATATTAGGGACATGATGGAGGTATACAGATCCATTAAGTATATTGCACTCACGTACATTGCACTGACATGTTCCACCATTTGTTTACAATGATGCTGCGTAACGCTGGCTCGTGCTTCGGACACAATCTTCTCAAGGAATTTGGATCCTCCATTCGCTTTTACTAAGCGCGTCAGCTGGATCTCCTCGCAGCATCTCGAGGTAATTGCGTCGCATGGCTTGTTTGACGTTCGTCTTGATGATACTCCAAGCGCCTTCTATGGGGTTCAGTGAAGGCGAATATGCCGCGAATCGCAATAGCCTCCTTGATGGGTAACGGTCCTCTTGGAACACACGTTCCAGATCCGTGTGGCATGTTGCATTGTCACAAATCAGCAGACAGCTGTCAGTAACAGCGGTGCCGTTGGCATGAAGCAGTTGCCGCAAGCGGTTCTCTGCGACGGACTCCCCGTGCTGCCCCACGGGTTCCGGCTATTCAGACACCCGTATCCATTTGCCGTGTGTTTGCACGTTCACCTTCGGTGTGCAAGCGACCTGCTTCCATTTGTCTCCTTTCTCGTACGCTACCAGTAGGACGTACTTCACCTCTCTCAGGTGCCGAACATCAAACCAAACATTGTGTTTAAATGAGCTGCACATTCTAATGCATACTGCAAAGTTATTTAGATGTGGCTAGTTATTCCAACCCAATCGTTATTCAAATCCCTAAACTCGTTCTAATTGGTGGGAATCGCTTCCTAGGACAGAGAAACAAAGATCCACATGATACATCGGCCACCGACACTGTCCCTGATAGGAGCTGAAGCGTCCCACCTGACCCCTATGACTTAGTGCGTCTGAGGTCCAATTGGCTGAAGGCGCCGTACTATAGACGCACATTTACACTGCTGCACAAGTAAGTGGTGCACGCACAGCTCAAAGTAATTGTGAAGAGACTCATCTTGTATGTCCCCTCAGCGCAACTCCTTTGCCGTTCAGATTAATTCTGTTGCCCAAGAGGACAGCTTGGCCGAGGAATGGTATAGATGGGTTTTACCCCAATGTCGTTTAACCCTCAGCTTTTTCCATATTCCAATGTTTTTTATGATGTTTGCAATGCAATATATTTTTCTTATTTCGACCCCATTTATTTCAATCTTTAACGAAACTACTTAGAAAGCAAAAGCAGGACCCCATGTCGTCATTTCTTTGTCGTTTGTCCCAGTTTCCCTTCTGGCTCCCGATTAGTTTGCATAATGAGCATGCGCCCACGTTAATCGTTTTGTTTACCATCCGGCCTGCATTGGTCATTTTTCCAGTAATCCAGACCGCGCCAGCCAATTTTTCTAGTTATCCGGACCATCGTCTGCTGACCCCTGGTCAAGACGGGCGAATGCCTTCGAGAAACACGGATAGGGGACATCTAGGATTACACCAGTGTGCACAGATTGCGTCCAGCATGCACGAACTATCAAGCGGCTAGGAGAACAGGACGAACTTTGGCGAAATCCGTGTTGCCCTGAAACTAGAACTTTGTTACTCCTTAAGTAAATCATGCGTGCATCTGTGCCATTATGCTCCATGATATTGAAGATAACCGCAAGTAGTGCTTTGAGGCGAGAAATGGTCGGTTCTGCACAGCTAAGACTGTTGTAAATTGAATTGACGATCCCTAGTTTCCACATTGTGGTAATCCACATCTTGTTAGGACATCATGGAAAGGATATTGCCAACAGATTAGAGGGCCATTTAGGGGTACACGTTGTGAGATTGGATTGCGACGCGCAATCTCAATATAGACCGCGATACACATTGTAGCGAATCATGGTCAACACGATCACTGGGATCGTAGCCGATGCAGTTAGAAACTCCGGTGCTGCCCACTGGCCCCTGGCAACACCCACATTACTAACGGTTCAGTTAACCCCTGGTAGCCACTTCCATTGCTTTCGAGCGAACGCCATCTGCAGCGGGGGAGATGCACTTGCCTAAATACATTAGTCTGTTGGGGGGGAGCCTGGGATACTAGTCGGTAATCAGTGACACTTAAGAGACCAGTCAAATACGGGACCGGGATAGTAGTTAGAGGCGACAGAACCCAATGTATATTGTGCAGGCTAAGAAAATAGGAAGCGAATCAAGCAGAGCGAGAAACGGTGCAGCAAGATACTCACCAAAACGCTTTGTGTCAACGAATGTGCATTTAGTAAAACAACTGGACGTTTTGAAGGTTAAACAACCGTAAAATCCAATGTTGCAAAATACTGAAAGAGCGTGTTTTCCGGTATACTACAAGTTTCGTGAGCACATATGCGGCAGTAATGGATATGCATCCAAGTCCTGGTGGTGGCATGATCTGCGTGAGTGTGCCATGAAATAGCGGCGCTTTCTGGAGAGTAAAAGCGAATTGATGTCTGAGAGCGTTAGCTGATCCTTATACCTTTCGCAACTGTCCACCTGCGTTGTTTAAAAGAGGGATAATCACTGTATTTTGCGACGTTTGTTAAAACGCCTGTAAGACAGCATAGGATTGGAACAAAAATTGTTTGTTGAAGCCTGTTGTTATTGCAGTTTATCTTCACTGAACAATCTGAAACAACGACAATTGCCTTACCTCATATTACGATATTTAGCGGAAGATGAGGAAGAGGTGATTCCACGTAACACAAGCATTGACGGCAATACAGAGAATGCTTCCATGGATCGGGAAACAGACGTGACTTTACAAGACGCTCTTGGTATTCGAATCGAAGACCTCAATTACCGCGAACTGAACGTAGAGGAATCGGATGAGGAGCAACAGTTGAGTGGCTACTCGGAAGATGACAGTGATGAGTCTGCTGAGCCATCCGCACTTCTCTCAGTGAGTTTGACATGTTTAATGAGCTTTTGTGGCTTTATGAACTTATTAAGCCTGATCGTGTACAATTAAGCTAAGTGCACGTTAATGACTCCCTGAAAATCAATATGGTCACCTTGCCTTAACTAGGGAATTTTTACCCAGCTAACCGCCATGCTACCTGTTAAAACATGCAAGGTGCATCGAGGTCATTACATGGAAAATGTCTCGATTATCGAGATAAAATCTGAAGCCGGTGTTGTGACTGTTCAGCAATATTCCAATGTTTAGTATTATGCCTGCCTGTCAGAACCAGAGATTTTGAGTAACCAAAAAGAACAGCTAGCCCACTAGTAACCCCTTTTTTGCCAGTTAAAGGATCGTTGATTTTTACTACTCACTTTTATCTAGTAACATGTGAGATCGTTATTTTATGGACCGTCGACACTTGCTATTTATCAACACCCACGTTTCACATTCCTTTTTCCCGTACAGACAGAGAGCGCTATTTCACGCGTGCGACCGTTTTTTGCAGTCGTTTCCTTTGTCTTGACGTATTCTGTGTATACATCGGAATTAACGATTAAACTCACCGGGAGCACCAATATTCCGGGCAAGGGGCAAGGCGGAGCAAGTGAATATCAGGTATTTGTAACTTTTACGGCCCATATTTCATCAAACGTTTTTGCTTTTTGCCAAACTACGACAAAATCGAAACACTAAAGATTTATATGATCCATATTATTCCTGTTCCGTGTACGGTTCCCTGGTAATCACGAACCAAACTACTTTCTCGCTGAACAGGTAGATTTCTATCAAAATGACATTCGGACCAACTGCTGGAGTACTTGATTGGCTCAAAATTCGCCGATTTTGCCCCAGCCGCCACTTCTTCAGTCAAAATCACAATCTGGCTAATACTCTGTGCATACAAATTATTATTAAAGCGATGTTGGGTGGCCACCAGCTACGTAAATTACTAGCTAACTTTCTGCGCACCATCCAACTTTGAGGCACCGAGAGTGAAATAGTCGATTCAGCATAAAAATGCAAATGTGCTCCCAGTCCTAAGAAATTAGCACGTGTCGTGTCTTGAGCCATGAATATGTCACCAAGCAAACGCCTGTATTTCCTTCCAGTGGAAATGACTTATCTCCTGAACAGCTGAGGGAGTTTGGGATGCTAATCACTTTTGGGATACATCTCTTCGACAAATCATTAATGTGTACGCGTTAGTCAACTAAATGTCCATTAGAGTATGAGGTCAAGTAAGCAGAATAACAGGCAATGAGTTGTGAGCAGCATGCACTGTGTTGTTCGGGTGCACACTCTCCATCATGTTTCGTAAAAAGAGCCGGATAACTTCGCGATACATGGAACGAAAACCCTTAAGGTGCTTAAAGACATCATAAGGCAGCGTGGAGAGTTAAACATTTTGAGAAACGAAGAATCCGCGGTCGTGGTGTGCCAGTGTTGTGAGGAGCAACACCAAAATATTTCCATTTCACCTATGGTCCTCGCGATCGGAATGACCGAGGTTTATCTCAAAGTGAACAGAGGTCTCAATAGAGGTTGCGTGTAGCAACCTAACCACACCGCGGGTTCCCCAAATACAACTTTGAATTCCTTTCCGCTGTGCCAAGCTTTGTGCGCGGATCACAGTGGCGTAGTGTTCAGGGTGTCAGCCGTGATGTATTAGACTGAGATCCACCCCAGATCAGGAGGTAACCGCGGTCGTGGTATGCCAGCGTTAGGATGGGCACCACCCAAATATTTCTATTTAAGAATCTTTTAATGTCCTAACACCCTCTTCCATGCTCCGCTAAGTGCATCAGTTCGAGTACATTTTAAAAAAACAAGGGAGATGTTACTTGCATCGTCATCAAGCGTTGTAAGATGATTGCTGAAAGTGTCAGCTTTAGCTAATAAGGTGACAAAATTGCTGCGTGGCGGGTATGCTCTAATTTTTCACATGTAGGCAAAACAAAAGCGACCATGCTACAACAGGCTTTGTCTCCTTAGAATTTGTGTTATTTGCTTGGAAATAGTCTTTTTTGGATTGTCTTGAGGTGTAAAAAGCTCCGGATACTGACCTACAGCTTGAGGTGGCGTTGACAGCATTTTAACTTAACGTCTGCGCACATAGTGGTACGCATAGCGGATACAAAGTTCAATACAAAACTATTTTTGCCAGTAATTGATGGAACTCACGAGGCCGAAAAGCCATAAATGATTTGTCCGAAAAACAGCTGGCCGACTAGCGGGTTTTCGGACAACTGCCGTGAGAAAGACTGTAAAGTTGCCCATCGACGCGTACACGTACGCTGCGCCTGAACCAGCAAAACACGTTCCGCTGACTTTCTGAGAGAAGCTGAGTACATAGTATAATACAGATTAACACGCAAATAAGAAACAAACGGATTGCTTAACTTTGGTTCCTACGACTCATTATCAGTTCGTCACATATGGATACAAATACACACACTGCCACTGTGAACCGCATGCGCTGAGTCGGCGGTACATCTGTGCACTATTCATTTTCTCCACTTTAGCATGCCACCTATTGTCGCAAACCCTGGATTAATACATTTTGTAGCAAACTGACAAACACCAAGTATTGATGCACTTCTCTCCAGAACACCACCGATGCATCCAACGTTTAAGCGTAACTGGGTAAACCGGACCCTTTTCATCAATACCTAGGTGCAAAACTACGTTATTCTAACCATCAGATAGACTTCTGATCTTACTCAGCAGTGCATTCCAACGGCATTCGAACAAGTTACCACTCGTTTTAGTCTAACACTTTATGGAGGGGCTACATGATAATTTAAGTTTTCCCTTATCGAACCCTATTCAGACTCTGGACAGGTCCACCTCGCCATCCAACACATTAACAGGACGATCCATAGATCAAGATATGAAACCCCGTATACCAAACCATCTAATGACTGCAGCAAGGACACAATCCTCTTTTGCCGTCATACCAGACGAACGACTAGAGGGAAAAGCTATCAATCACCTTAAAAGGACGCGAATCGTGTGACCCTGACTGCATCGTGACAACAGACAGCGGACGTGACTTGACGTGGATGCGCTCCCGCTTATCTCGCAGAACAATAACCAAACGTGTATCAGCCTCACCACCAATTTGTCCGACAACCTTTGACAACAGCCTGCTCTAACAAATCCTGCGGTGAACCACATGGCGTTGTCTGCAATGATAGGCACTGCATGTCCACGGTAGGCTAAGCCTAAAACCTCACAGTTAAACGTAAATTGTAGTAAGGAAAGCTAAGTGTATATGTATTGGAATAGAACGGTCAGACCGTTGTGAATAACACCTATCCCAACGCACTTGTCTAACTTTTAGGCGAGGTAACGTAACGTAATAATATGATAGATTCCGTTTGTTTCTACACTGAGCGTACGGATATTCCACTCAGCAGGTTTACAGCTGTGTGGGCGCGAACGTTCGACAACTTTGTGCGGATTGTGAAGCATCGACCGCCCCTTAATAACTGTCCAACTGGAACCAGACGAAGTAGTTCCTCGAGTCCAATACCTAACATTATACACCAATTCAGAACAGAGCAGATAGACCTGGCATAAGAGCGATGGTCCAGAGTTAGATAACCGGACTCTGCCGACTCCTAACCCATACGAGGGGTTGCTCATAAAGAAGCTTTTGTACCAAATGTTTCGTCAAAATAACGCGGGATATTTAATACTACGTCGGTTGTGTCAAACACACAACAGAGGCAACTGCCATTGTAGTTTCGAACATGGCGAAGCCAGAAGTAGTTAATGTTCTTAATACCACTGCGGGACCTCGGATGCCAGCTGTTGTCCAACCAACGAAAGCAGATGCACACTCCTGTCATTACTTTCTCTTTGCCTTCTGCAACTGAAACCAAACTGTACCTAAACCAACATCTGAACCACCTGTCCAATCGGACACCGGACAATGCTCGTTGAAGATCGCAGTTGACGGAGTGGACACAATCATGATTCAGATGGTCAAATACATTTTCTCTTGTTTCGTATGCTGTGTTAATTTCCTCATTGGAACAGTGATGATCGCGAAATTAGACAAATTTTGGAGATTGTAGGAAGACAGCCCAAAGAAATGTTTCACCTGTGTCTTGCTGCACATTTTGGGACAGTTAAGGATAGCCTTGGTGTTCTAACCATCTGATCTAATACCACATGCTTGATGGACTCCACTTCAACCGTGGAGAACTGACATTGGTTGGTATTCAAGTGAAGCTAGAGTTGGTTCAGCTTAAGCAGTACATTGTGGAGATTTTCCATATGCTCACTCGTGTCGCCACCAAAAACACAAATAACATCCATGTAAACAATACATCCTTTGGCGTCGGAGAAGGAAAAAGGAACGACTTTTTGCCAAGCAGGTGGTGTACTTCTAAGGCCTGTTGCTACGACCATACTGTTACAACCCATCTGGTGTGAGAAATGCAGTCAAATGTCAACAATCAGATGTCTGTGGCTTTGGGTAGTATTCCCTGCGGTCATCTAGTTTCTAGAACAACCTCTCGTTGGAGAGTCTTGCCACCAGCTTACCGGCAGGAGGAGGTGAGAATTCATCTACAAATAGGTGCTTGTAAAGCATTCGCAAATCAGTACACAGGAATATATATCCATCTTTCTTTTACACTGCAACAAGAGGATGAACCCACTCAGAGCATTGTATTGCTTTGATCATCTCGTCGTTGACCACTTGTTTCAGTCACATGTTTTACCAAGGCTGCTGGCCTAGTTTGCGAAATACTGAATGGCCTGTAATCTGCCTTCAGACGAATTGCGGCATCCTTTAGGAACTTTGTAAATGTCCAGACGGAAAAGGTTTGGGTAGTTAAAATGAAGTCAATTCTGACTGACAGGCAAATATCATTCGGTTGACGTTGGGTGACACATTTAATAAATCCATGGCGTTGCGTCCCAGCAGGTTCTCAGAAACGTAGACTTCAACTGCACACTTCCTGTTGTCCCTAAGAAATACTGGAACAATAACGAAACCCAGAATTTTCGCAACACCATTGGAGTGGCTGATGAAATTGTGCGCTGATTACTGTACATGTTGGCGATAGGAAAATTGATTGTAAAACGGTATGGAAACGCTGTAATGGATGACGCGGAAACTAGCTCCATATATAAACGAATGTTTTCTCTATACACTCCAAGATCGCTGCAAATATCTGATAACGGCAATTTTTGCTCCTTATTAGGACAAAAAGTGGAACGTTTACCCTCACAAACGTCAAAGACTGTCTGTTCGAAGTTGGCTGTGGGGACCGAAAAAGCACATGCAATGCGGTCGGCACGTGAGATGGATCTACCGCAGATCCTGCAAATTTCATTATTGGCGGACATACGTAACTGTTTGTGCGATGTTAAATCTTCTCAGCGTGCTAACACGCTCCTATTTTGGGGTGTCGTAGATGGGGAAGAATTCAACCTGTCGATCTCAGTAGACGAAACAGTGGAAAGTAAATTTCTACTTCGGTCGTTAACTTTGACGTTCCCATGAGCTATGTCAAAAGTCCGGTCTCACAACAGCTTGTCGGCGTCCTCCATTAGCAGGCATTCTCTGTTCCTAGAATCAGACAGGTCCGTGATAGGTT